ATATATATATATATATATATATATATATATATATATATATATATATCAGAACAATGGTGGAAAAATGGAAATATTGTGCGTTTCGTCCATAAAAAAGGACTTCATCAAACTAAAGTCATGTTCTTATTCATGGAATAATATTAAGGGTGCAATGGTCAAATTGTCGCCATTTTATATTTTTAATTTCGCGCATGCGCGTTCTTTGTTTTTGATTTTGCCAATAGTAGGGTCAATTGGTGATTGTTTGGGAGAAAAAGAGCACCATGACGAAATTCACTCCGCCAGAAATTTGGAAACAGCATACTGTACTGCTTGGCATATACGCTGGAAGCTCCAATACGATCATTTCAGAGTGTTTGGGTGTCAAACTGAGGACAGTACAAAGGATTCGGAAAGAGTTGGATGAGTTTAATGGAGATTACGAAGCCAAGGTAGCTCGGAAAAGTCACTTTGATCGTTCTGATAAGAAAAGAACTCCTGAATTTCTTGGTGAGTGCCTCAGACTCAACACGAATGCCAACATCAAGTACCTTGAGTTGATAGTGTTGCTTTGGGTGAAGAGGGTGTCTGCTGGAAGACCCTATGTATGGCAACAGGATTCTGCACAATGCCACACAATTAGGAGAACCCAGTCATAGCTAGAAGAATATTTCTACGACCACATCACCTCTTCGCCAACTAACTTCTCAGACTGTAACCCCTTATGTGGGTGGGGGTGCAGTTGAGCGAGAGACCAGCAACACTCCTTGTAGACACTAACGACGAACTGAAGCCAAGGTTTATGACAGCATTCATCAACTTAAACAAAGAGAAGAGTTGTATGCGATTCCGAAGTTGTCTGGAGGCAATGGCGATTTTATTGAATATATTTACTCTTTAGTATTTCGAGACATTTTTGTTTAATTTTAGTAAATATATTTGTTACAATGAGATGTCAGTGTCATTTTCCTTTTTTGCGGTATTTAGACGACAATTTATTCATCGCATCCTGTATATGTAGGGGGAGAGGAAAATATAAACTTTTTTTTTTTTTTTTTTTATCAATTATGCGTCCATGGAATTGCTGAAAATGTCTGGACGCTAAATTCCTAATTTATACATTTTTGGCACCGGGCGTGTGTAGACGCACACTTCTCTTTCCCAGGGATTTTGTTTGTGTTTTTATCGCTGTTGGCGCCAAATATCTACCACCGCGACACCAAAGGGAACTTTGTAAGAGTCAGGGAGTAAATTATCCGAAGAAAATTCAGAAATCACTGCATATATTTTCGCCTTCGTAAATTATTTTCTCTTTCAAAACAGCACTTTTAAGTCAAAATTACAGCAAGATTCATTACGATGAACAACTTATGCACTGACTGTGTTGTTTTGTCAAAAATCTCTCTTGTGGTTATGTAATCTCTTATTTAAATTTCTTTGAGTTTCTCCTCTGTATTTTAGTGAAGATTATTACAATCGATGGAGTAAATTGCTGTTAAAAGTTTTCAGTTGTTATTATTTTGTTTTGAATTGTTTCAGAGGCAGTTACAAGAAATTTTATAAGTTTATTCCTTTCGATTGTTTTTGTGACAGAATTATGTGTCTATTTTTAATATCGTTTATTCTTTTTTTATTTTTGTAAATTTAAAGAGCTTTTCGTTACGCATTGAATACGAAATAATTAAGATATTAGAGGAGCTTAAATGTATATGCAATGCATTTCTTATCATCCTCTAAATAATGCCGGCCAAAAATTCTAAGGGATCTTAAATAGAATCCAGTAAATATTCCGTATGTTATTCTGTTGTTAGGGGGGTGGAAATAAAAATTTAGGTGAACATTTTTATTAGTAGACAGTTTTAGGTAATTATCAGTTTGGTTTAATATGATATCAAAGAAAGGTAATGTATTGTTGGTTTCTCTTTTTAGGTAAATTCTATCGTACGTACTTTGTTGTTCAGTTTATTTACAGTATGAGGTAATATTGTTTGAAGGCATTTATTAATAAAGCATCATCACTATATCGCAAACATGTTAATTGTTTTAAGTCAAATATTTTGAAAAGGATCAGTTTAAAGAAATTCAAGGACAGAAAAGCTAAAATTCCGCGAAGATGCGGTCTCATCGCTAATCTGTTTATTACATTTTTTTTTTTACTCATTGTTAAAAATGAAATAATATTGATTCATGACGAGTCGGCAAAATATTATAATTTTATCTATTGGTAGGGAAAGGTTTATATTTAGTGGACTAAATTTCTAAAAAAATAAATTCAAGCATTTGTCGACAGGAAAGTTAGTATAAAGAGTTTTGACACCTACACGAGCCATAAATTTTGTTGTCATACCTTAATGCTTCTACAATGTTACCTGAATTTATAATATATTGAAATTATAATATATAGCAGTGGTATTAAAAATTTCTTAATGTCTTTCACTTGTCAGTGGGGAGCACTTCCAATTTCATATATGATAGGTCACATTGGAATTTATTTTTGTGCGTTTTGGGTCGACCATAAAGTCAGGCTATTTTAATGGGAGTATTCTATTAATTTAGATAATGATTGGCCCTCATTAGTAATCCGTTTTCCTCTTGTTTAATTACATTTTCGTGTTAATGAAGAGTTAATTATTAAAAACTCATTATTAACATAAAAAGGGTGGCCAAATGAATCACCACTTCCGGTCAAATGTATTAAGTGTGCGCTTCGGTTTCTCGTGTCCTTTTTTCTTTTTGAAAACTAGAAACTGAATACACAACAAAAACATTTTTAAAAAATAAAGCTGGGAACTTTTGTACACACCTAATATATATATAATTGTGAAACGTTTACTTATAGTTGTTTTCGTTCAGATCTTCCCGTATGAATCCATCGATATGTTTATCCACCTTCTATGGGTTCAGTGCCATTGATATCAACACCATTTTGCATAATCAAGGTATTATCCATAGTCACTGAAATCGTGTCTTTGTTTGAGAGACATAGTAACTGCATCGTATTTACAACCATCTTCCTACAGCTTCGGGTGGCTGTGTTTGGAATTCTTCTAGACTAGTTGCCAAGTACAACTCAGTCTATCTGTGCTATTGATGTCAACACCATTTTGCATAATCAAGGTATTATCCATAGTCGCTAAAATATACCGTGTGTTTGTTTAACAGACGTATCTGCATAGCATATCTAACCATCTCTGTGCAGCTTCAAGTTGCTTATATATACAACCTGTAATTTGTTACTTCTAAATGTGTAATATTTATCTTTAATACCGATCAATACTGTTTATTTAATTTTCTGTGGCTGAATCAGTAAGACGCCGTCCATGTTACATTGTCTAGCACGGAAAGTAGAATTTAATTCATGCAAAAATTGAATTATACTTGACAAAATTCCATCTAAAAAGTTCAGACAACTTAAGACTACTACTACTTTGTGTAAAAGCAAGAGAAATAAAATGGAAGAAAGAAGTTAAGTGCGAATAAATATTAACAAGACTTCATCTAAGGAATTCAGATAACTTAAGACTATTACGATTTGGTGTCAAGCAAGAGAAATAAGATAAAAGTAATCCTTTAAAAGATGCATAATAATTGGCAATGTTTCATCAAAGAAATTCACACAACTAAAGACTATTGCCAATGGGTGGAAAAGTAATAAGATTAAAGAAATACTAGTAAAAAATGAATAATAATCGACAATGTTTCATCTGATAAAATTCTCACAATTTAAAATTAATATGATTGGATATAAAAGCAAAAGAAATAAAATGAAAGAAATTTTAGTAAAAAATAACTACAATTAACAAGGCTTGATCTAAGAAATTCAAGCAGCAATTATATATATATAAGGTGTGTGCAAAAGTTCCCAGCATCATTTTTTAAAATGTTTTTGTTGTGTATTCAGTTTCTAGTTTAAAAAAAAAAAAAAAAAAAAAAAATGATGATACTAAGCGCACACTTAATACATTTGACCGGAAGTGGTGATTCAAATGGCCACCATTTTTATGCTAATAATAAGTTTTTAATAATTAACTCTATATTAACACGAAAATGTAATAAGACAATATGGAAACGAGTTACTAATTAGGACCAATCATTGTCTAAATTAATAGAATATCATTATTACTACTTGGTGTAAAAGCAAGAGAAATAGAATGGAAGAAAGACAAGTGGAAAGTGAATAATAATTGACAATGAATCTTCTAAAAACTCAATCAATAACATTACAAGTTGATGAGAAATAAAATACATAAAATACTAATCAAAAACTAAAAAAAATACATGAAAATGTAGTGAACTCCTCTGGTGAACCAGAAAATTGTTACAAATAGCAAAATAGATATAGAGATAGAAATTTATGTATATATATATATAGATAGAATTTTATATATATATATAGAGATAGAATTATATATATATATATATATATATATATATATATATATATATATATATATATATATATATATATTATTTAGATTGAATATATATTTTTATAAATTTGAAATATGATGAAAGCAATATTAATCCTTTCTCTAATATATCTTGCGCAAATATAGTTCTCTTTGGATTTTCTTTCTTGGAAAAGAATGTTCACTAGAAAGAAATGAAAGCGAATACTTCCGTGAACGTTCTTTGATTTACAAGAACAGCGAATGTAGAATGGGCTATTGACGCTTTTGTGAATTTTGGAAAAACCGTGAATCTAATATTGAATAAGAAATAAGATCTATTTATCTACACATAATATAGCGTAAAAATCTTCGGTGGATAATAAAATACATTTTATTGAATTTTATTAAATAACGCATTTCCCGAGGTATATTAGAGGCTTTTTTCAATCTTCCATATCAGATCTAAGACACAATATTACGCCAATTATGATATTTCTTGAGAAACCGATCAAATCTAAGACACAATATTACGCCAATTATGATATTTCTAAACCGATCTTCTTCAATCTTCCATATCAGATCTAAGACACAATATTACGATTTCTTTTAAACCGATCTTTTTCTTATCAGATCTGACACAATATTACGCCAATTATGATGATATTCTTTATGATATTTTTATAAACCGATCTTCTTCAATCTTCCATATCAGATCTAAGAACGTACGCCAATTATGATATTTCTTTATAAACCGATCTTCTTCAATCTTCCATATCGATCTAAGACACAATATTACGCCAATTATGATATTTCTTTTATAAACCGATCTTCTTCAATCTTCCATATCAGATCTAAGAAACAATATTACGCCAATTATGATATTTCTTTATAAACCGATCTTCTTCAATCTTCCATATCAGATCTAAGACACAATATTACGCCAATTATGATATTTCTTTATAAACCGATCTTCTTCAATCTTTATCAGATCTAAGACACAATATTACGCCAATTATGATATTTCTTTATAAACCGATCTTCTTCAATCTTCCATATCAGATCTAAACACAATATTACGCCAATTATGATATTTCTTTATAAACCGATGTTCTTCAATCTTCCATATAAAATCTAAGACACATTACGCCAATTATGATATTTCTTTATAAACCGATCTTCTTCAATCTTCCATATCAGATCTAAGACACAATATTACGCCAATTATGATATTTCTTTATAAACCGATTTCTTCAATCTTCCATATCAGATCTAAGACACAATATTACGCCAATTATGATATTTCTTTATAAACCGATCTTCTTCAATCTTCTTGATCTAAGACACAATAACGCGATATTTCTTTATAAACCGATCTTCTTCAATCTTCCATATCCGATCTTCCATATCAGATCTCCATAGAAAACAATATTACGCCAATTATGATATTTCTTTATAAACCGATCTTCTTCAATCTTCCATATCAGATCTAAGACACAATATTACGCCAATTATGATATTTCTTTATAAACCGATCTTCTTCAATCTTCCATATCAGATCTAAGACACAATATTACGCCAATTATGATATTTCTTTATAAACCGATCTTCTTCAATCTTCCATATCAGATCTAAGACACAATATTACGCCAATTATGATATTTCTTTATAAACCGATCTTCTTCAATCTTCCATATCTTTATAAGATCTAAGACAATTATGATTTTTATAAACCGATATCTTCCATATCGCCAATTATGATATTTCTTTATAAACCGATCTTCTTCAATCTTCCATATCAGATCTAAGACACAATATTACGCCAATTATGATATTTCTTTATAAACCGATCTTCTTCAATCTTCCATATCAGATCTAAGACACAATATTACGCCAATTATGATATTTCTTTATAAACCGATCTTCTTCAATCTTCCATATCAGATCTAAGACACAATATTACGCCAATTATGATATTTCTTTATAAACCGATCTTCTTCAATCTTCCATATCAGATCTAAGACACGCTTTATAAACCGATCTTCTTCAATCTTCCATATCAGATCTAAGAAACAATATTACTCCAATTATGATATTTCTTTATAAACCTATCTTCTTCAATCTTCCATATCAGATCTAAGACACAATATTACGCCAATTATGATATTTCTTTATAAACCGATCTTTTTCAATCTTCCATATCAGATCTAAGAAACAATATTACGCCAATTATGATATTTCTTTATAAACCGATCTTCTTCAATCTTCCATATCCGATCTAAGACAGAATATTACGCCAATTATGATATTTCTTTATAAACCGATCTTCTTCAATCTTCCATATCAGATCTAAGAAAAAATATTACGCCAATTATGATATTTCTTTATAAACCGATGTTCTTCAATCTTCCATATCAGATCTAAGACACAATATTACGCCAATTATGATATTTCTTTATAAACCGATCTTCTTCAATCTTCCATATCAGATCTAAGACACAATATTACGCCAATTATGATATTTCTTTATAAACCGATCTTCTTCAATCTTCCATATCAGATCTAAGACACAATATTACGCCAATTATTTCTTTGATATTTCTTTATAAACCGATCTTCTTCAATCTTCCATATATAAGAATCAATAAGCCAATTATGAATCTTTATAAACCGATCTTCTTCAATCTTTATGATCTATTTACGCCAATTTGATATTTCTTTAGAAACCGATCTTCTTCAATCTTCCATATCAGATCTAAAAAACAATATTCCAATTATGATATTTCTTTATAAACCGATCTTCATATCAGATCTAAACAATATTACGCCAATTATGATATTTCTTTATAAACCGATCTTCTTCAATCTTCCATCTTCCATATCGCCAATTATGATTTCTTTATAAAGACAATCTTCCAATATTAAGACCAATAATTATGATATTTCTTTATAAACCGATCTTCTTCAATCTTCCATATCAGATCTAAGACACAATATTACGCCAATTATGATATTTCTTTATAAACCGATCTTCTTCAATCTTCCATATCAGATCTAAGATATTTCTTTATAAACACAATCTTCCATTACGCCAATTATGATATTTCTTTATAAACCGATGTTCTTCAATCTTCCATATCAGATCTAAGACACAATATTACGCCAATTATGATATTTCTTTATAAACCGATTTCTTCAATCTTCCATATCAATCTAAGACACTTCCAATTATGATATTTCTTTATAAACCGATCTTTTCAATCTTCCATATCAAATCTAAGACAATATTACGCCAATTATGATATTTCTTTATAAACCGATCTTCTTCAATCTTCCATATCAGATCTAAGACACAATATTACGCCAATTATGATATTTCTTTATAAACCGATCTTCTTCAATCTTCCATATCAGATCTAAGACACAATATTACGCCAATTATGATATTTCTTTATAAACCGATCTTCTTCAATCTTCCATATCAGATCTAAGACACAATAATACGCCAATTATGATATTTCTTTATAAACCGATCTTCTTCAATCTTCCATATCAGATCTAAGACACAATATTACGCCAATTATGATATTTTTATAAAGATGTTCTTCAATCTTCCATATCAGATCTAAAGACACAATATTACGCCAATTATGATATTTCTTTATAAACCGATCTTCTTCAATCTTCCATATCAGATCTAAGACACAATATTACGCCAATTATAAGATATTTCTTTATAAACAGATCTTCTTCAATCTTCCATATCAGATCTAAGACACAATATTACGCCAATTATGATATTTCTTTATAAACCGATCTTCTTCAATCTTCCATATCAGATCTAAGAAACAATATTACGCCAATTATGATATTTCTTTATAAACCGATCTTCTTCAATCTTCCATATCAGATCTAAGACACAATATTACGCCAATTATGATATTTCTTTATAAACCGATCTTCTTCTATCTTCCATATCAGATATAAAAAACAATATTACGCCAATTATGATATTTCTTTTAAACGATCTTCTTCAATCTTCCATTCAGATCAAAAGACACAATATTACGCCAATTCTTTATAAAACTTCGATCTTCCATATCAATCTAAGAAAAAATATTACGCCAATTATGATATTTCTTTATAAAGATCTTCTTCAATCTCAGATCTAAGACACAATATTACGCCAATTATGATATTTCTTTAGAAACCGATCTTCTTCAATCTTCCATATCAGATCTAAGACACAATATTACGCCAATTATGATATTTCTTTATAAACCGATCTTCTTCAATCTTCCATATCAGATCTAAGACACAATATTACGCCAATTATGATATTTCTTTATAAACCGATGTTCTTCAATCTTCAATCTTCTAATAAACAATATCAATTATGATCTAAACCGATCTTCTTCAATCCATATCAGATCTAAGACACAATATTACGCCAATTATGATATTTCTTTATAAACCGATCTTCTTCAATCTTCCATATCAGATCTAAAAACAATATTACGCCAAATGATTTCTTTAGAAACCGATATTTTCAATCTTTATGATATTTCAATTTTATTCCTTTAAACCGATCTTCTTCAATCTTCCATATCAGATCTAAGAAACAATATTACGCCAATTATGATATTTCTTTATAAACCGATCTTCTTCAATCTTCCATATCAGATCTAAAGACACAATATTACGCCAATTATGATATTTCTTTATAAACCGATCTTCTTCAATCTTCCATATCTTTATAAACCGATCTTCCATATCAGATCACAATATTACGCCAATTATGATATTTCTTTATAAACCGATCTTCTTCAATCTTCCATATCTTCTAAGACACAATATTACGCCAATTATGATATTTCTTTATAAACCGATCTTCTTTTCAATCTTCCATATCAGATCTAAGACACAATATTACGCCAATTATGATATTTCTTTATAAACCGATCTTCTTCAATCTTCCATATCCGATCTAAGACACAATATTACGCCAATTATGATATTTCTTTATAAACCGATCTTCTTCAATCTTCCATATCAGATCTAAGAAACAATATTACGCCAATTATGATATTTCTTTATAAACCGATCTTCTTCAATCTTCCATATCGATCATATCAGATCTAAACACAATATGATATTTTTATAAACCGATCTTCTTCAATCTTCCAATTACGCCAATTATGATATTTCTTTATAAACCGATCTTCTTCAATCTTCCAATCTTCCAATTATGATATCTTTATAAACCGATCTATATCAGATCTAAGAAACAATATTACTCCAATTATGATATTTCTTTATAAACCGATCTTCTTCAATCTTCCATATCAGATCTAAGACACAATATTACGCCAATTATGATATTTCTTTATAAACCGATCTTCTTCAATCTTCCATATCCGATCTAAGACACAATATTACGCCAATTATGATATTTCTTTATAAACCGATCTTCTTCAATCTTCCATATCAGATATAAGAAACAATATTACGCCAATTATGATATTTCTTTATAAACCGATGTTCTTCAATCTTCCATATCAGATCTAAGACACAATATTACGCCAATTATGATATTTCTTTATAAACCGATCTTCTTCAATCTTCCATATCAGATCTAAGACACAATATTACGCCAATTATGATATTTCTTTATAAACCGATCTTCTTCAATCTTCCATATCAGTTCTAATCTATTAGCAATTATGATATTACGCCAATTATGATATTTCTTATAAACCGATCTTCTTCAATCTTCCATATCAGATCAAAAGACACAATATTACGCCAATTATGATATTTCTTTATAAACCGATCTTCTTCAATCTTCCATATCAGATCTAAGACACAATATTACGCCAATTATGATATTTCTTTATAAACCGATCTTCAATCTCCATATCAGATCTAAGACTTACGCCAATTATGATATTTCTTTCAGATCTAAGAAACAATAATACGCCAATTATGATATTTCTTTATAAACCGATCTTTTCAATCTTCCATATCAGATCTAAGAAACAATATTACGCCAATTATGATATTTCTTTATAAACTGATCTTCTTCAATCTTCCATATCAGATCTAAGAAACAATATTACGCCAATTATGATATTTCTTTATAAACCGATCTTCAATCTTCCATATCAGATCTAAGACACAATATTACGCCAATTATGATATTTCTTTATAAACCGATCTTCTTCAATCTTCCATATCAGATCTAAGACACAATATTACGCCAATTATGATATTTCTTTATAAACCGATCTTCTTCAATCTTCCATATCAGTTCTAATAAACAATATTACGCCAATTATGATATTTCTTTAGAAACCGATCTTTTTCAATCTTCCATATCAGTTCTAAGACAATATTACAATATTACGCCAATTATGATATTTCTTTATAAACCGATCTTTTTTCAATCTTCCATATCAGATCTAAGAAACAATATTACGCCAATTATGATATTCCTTTATAAACCGATCTTCTTCAATCTTCCATATCAGATCTAAGACACAATATTACGCCAATTATGATATTTCTTTATAAACCGATCTTCTCAATCTTCCATATCAGATCTAAGACACAATATTACGCCAATTATGATATTTCTTTATAAACCGATCTTCTTCAATCTTCCATATCAGATCTAAGACACAATATTATCAATTATGATATTTCTTTATAAACCGATCTTCTTCAATCTTCCATATGGGGATCTAAGACCACAATATTACGCCAATTATGATATTTCTTTATAAAACCGATTTTTCTTATCAGATCTAAGAAACAATATTCAGTTCTTCAATCTTCCATATCAGATCTAAAACAATAATACGCCAATTATGATATTTCTTTATAAACCGATCTTCTTCAATCTTCCATATCAGATCTAAGACACAATATTACGCCAATTATGATATTTCTTTATAAACCGATCTTCTTCAATCTTCCATATCAGATCTAAGAAACAATATTACGCCAATTATGATATTTCTTTATAAACCGATCTTCTTCAATCTTCCATATCAGATCTAAGACACAATATTACGCCAATTATGATATTTCTTTATAAACCGATCTTCTTCAATCTTCCATATCAGATCTAAGACACAATATTACGCCAATTATGATATTTCTTTATAAACCGATGTTCTTCAATCTTCCATATCAGATCTAAGAAACAATATTACTCCAATTATGATATTTCTTTATAAACCGATCTTCTTCAATCTTCCATATCAGATCTAAGACACAATATTACGCCAATTATGATATTTCTTTATAAACCGATCTTCAATTTCAATCTTCATCCAGATCTAAGAAACAATATTTAAATTATGATATTTCTTTATAAACCGATCTTCTTCTAATCTTAGATCTAAGACACAATATTACGCCAATTATGATATTTCTTTATAAACCGATCTTCTTCAATCTTCCATATCAGATCTAAAAGATAAAACAATATTACGCCAATTATGATATTTCTTTATAAACCGATCTTCTTCAATCTTCCATATCAGATCTAAGACACAATATTACGCCAATTATGATATTTCTTTTTCTTTATAAATCCTAAAAAACAATAATACGCCAATTATGATTTTCTTTAAAATCTTCTTCCATATCAGATCTAAGACACAATATTACGCCAATTATGATATTTCTTTATAAACCGATCTTCTTCAATCTTCCATATCAGATCTAAGAAACAATATTACGCCAATTATGATATTTCTTTATAAACCGATCTTCTTCAATCTTCCATATCAGATCTAAGACACAATATTACGCCAATTATGATATTTCCTTTTATAAACCGATCTTCTTCAATCTTCCATATCAATTATGATATTTCCCTTAAAACTGATCTTCTTCAATCTTCTCAGATCTAAGACACAATATTACGCCAATTATGATATTTCTTTATAAACCGATCTTCTTCAATCTTCCATATCCGATCTAAGACACAATATTACATAATTATGATATTTCTTTTTATAAACCGATCTTCTTCAATCTTCCATATCAGATCTAAGAAACAATATTACGCCAATTATGATATTATAAACCGATATTCTTCAATCTTCCATATCAGATTTTTATATAAACCGATGTTCTTCAATCTTCCATATCAGATCTAAGAAACAATATTACGCCAATTATGATATTTCTTTATAAACCGATCTTCTTCAATCTTCCATATCAGATCAAAAGACACAATATTACGCCAATTATGATATTTCTTTATAAACTGATCTTCTTCAATCTTCCATATCCGATCTAAGACCATATGATATTTTTTATAAAGATCTTCTTCAATCTTCCATATCCGATCTACATACAATATTACGCCAATTATGATATTTCTTTATAAACCGATCTTCTTCAATCTTCCATATCCGATCTAAGAAACAATATTACGCCAATTATGATATTTCTTTATAAACCGATCTTTTCAATCTTCCATATTCCAATATTACGCCAATTATGATATTCTTTTAGAAACCGATCTTCTTTCAATCTTCCATATTGATTAAAAATAATAATACGCCAATTATGATATTTCTTTATAAACCGAAACCGATACGCCAAATATAGATATTTTTTATAAACCGAATTCTTCAATATTCCATATCAGATCTAAAAACAATATTACGCCAATTATGATATTTCTTTATAAACTGATCTTCTTCAATCTTCCATATCAGATCTAAGACACAATATTACGCCAATTATGATATTTCTTTATAAACCGATCTTCTTCAATCTTCCATATCAGATCTAAACACAATATTACGCCAATTATGATATTTCTTTAGAAACCGATCTTCTTCAATCTTCCATATCAGATCTAAGACATAATATTACGCCAATTATGATATTTATAAACCGATCTTTTCAATCTTCCATATCCGATCTAAGAAACAAATATTACGCCAATTATGATATTTCTTTATAAACCGATCTTCTTCAATCTTCCATATCAGATCTAAGAACAATATTACGCCAATTATGATATTTCTTTATAAACCGATCTTCTTCAATCTTCCATATCAGATCTAAGACACAATATTACGCCAATTATGATATTTCCTTTATAAACCGATCTTCTTCAATCTTCCATATCAGATCTAAGACACAATATTACGCCAATTATGATATTTCTTTATAAACCGATCTCTTCAATCTTCCATATCAGATCTAAGACACAATATTACGCCAATTATGATATTTCTTTATAAACCGATCTTCTTCAATCTTAAACAATATTACGCCAATTATGATATCTAAGACACAATATTACGCCAATTATGATATTTCTTTATAAACCGATCTTTCAATCTTCCATATCAGATCTAAGACACAATATTACGCCAATTATGATATTTCTTTATAAACCGATGATCTTCTAATCTTCCATATCAGATCTAAGACACAATATTACGCCAATTATGATATTTCTTTTTTTATAAACCGATCTTCTTCAATTAATATTTCCATATCAGATCTAAGACACAATATTACGCCAATTATGATATTTCTTTATAAACCGATGTTCCATATCAGATATGAACAATATTCCAATTATGATATCAGATCTTTTTCAATCTTCCAAGATCTAAGACACAATATTACGCCAATTATGATTTATTTTATAAACCGATCATCTTCAATCTTCACATCAGATCCATATCAGATCTTTTTAGGAAAAGAATCTTCCATCAGATAAAAAACAATATTACGCCAATTATGATATCTTTTTCTTTAGAAACCGAATATGATCATCTTCTTCAATCTTCCATATCAGATCTAAGACACAATAATACGCCAATTATGATATTTCTTTATAAACCGATCTTCTTCAATCTTCCATATCAGATCTAAGACACAATATCTAATTATGATATTTCTTTATAAACCGATTTTCAAACTTCCATAAACAATATTACGCCAATTATGATATTTTTAGAAACGCTTTTTCAATATCAGATCTAAGAAACAATATTACGCCAATTAAGATTTTATAAACCGATCTTCTTCAATCTTCCATATCAGATCTAAGAAACAATTATTACGCCAATTATCAGATATTACGCCTTTATAAACCGATCTTCTAATATTCCATCAGATCTTCCATATCTTTAGAAACCGATCTAAGACAGAATATTACGCCAATTATGATATTTCTTATAAACCGGATCTTTCTTCAATCTTCCATATCAGATCTAAGAAAGAATATTACGCCAATTATGATATTTCTTTATAAAACCGATGTTCTTCAATCTTCCATATCAGATCTAAGAAACAATATTAAAACCGCCAATTATGATCTAAGACACAATATTCGTTAGAAACCGATCATCTTCAATATTCCATCAGATCTAAGACACAATAATAAACGCCAATTATCAGATAAGACACAATTTCAATTATGATATTTTTATAAACCGATCTTCTTCAATCTTCCATATCAGATCTAAGACACAATATTACGCCAATTATGATATTTCTTTTATAAACCGATCTTCTTCAATCTTCCATATCAGATCTAAGAAACAATATTACGCTAATTATGATATATTTCTTTATAAACCATTGTTCTTCAATCTTATCAGATCAAAGACAATTATGATACAATATCTTCCATATCAGATCTAAAACCAATTATGATATTTCTTTATAAACCGATCTTCTTCAATCTTCCATATCAGATCTAAGAAACAATATTACGCCAATTATGATATTTTTATAAATGATTTCTTTAGAACCGATGTTCTTTTCTTTCTTCCATATCAGATCTATAAACAATATTACGCCAATTATGATATTCCTTTATAAACCGATCTTCTTCAATCTTCCATATCAGATCTAAGAAACAATATTACGCCAATTATGATATTTCTTTATAACCGATGTTCTTCAATCTTCCATATCAGATCTAAGACACAATATTACGCCAATTATGATATTTCTTTATAAACCTATCTTCAATCTTCCATATCAGATCTAAGACACAATATTACGCCAATTGATATTTCTTTATAAACCGATGTTCTTCAATCTTCCATATCAGATCTAAGACACAATATTACCGCCAATTATGATATTTCTTTATAAACTGATCTTCTTCAATCTTCCATATCAGATCATATCAGATTGGACAATATTATGCCAATTATGATATTTCTTTATAAATATGATCTTCCCCAATCTTTTATCTAAGAAAACCTAATTATGATATTTTTTATAAACTTATCTTCTTCAATCTTCCATATCAGATCTAAGACAATATTACGCCAATTATGATATTTCCTTTATAAACCGATCTTCTCTAATCTTCCATATCCGATCTAAGATATTACGCCAATTATGATATTTTTTATAAAATATCCATCAGATCTAAGACACAAATTATGATATTTTATAAACCGATCTTCTTCTCAATCTTCCATATCAGATACATACAATAAGAGATCTTCTTACAATCAGATTAAGAAAACGCCAATTATGATATTTCTTTATAAACCGATCTTCTTCAATCTTCCATATCAGATCTAAGACACAATATTACGCCAATTATGATATTTCTTTAGAAACCGATTATCTTCTATCTTCCATATCAGATCTAAAAAACAATATTACGCCAATTATGATATTTCTTTATAAACCGATCTTTTTCTATCTTCCATATCAGATCTAAGACACAATATTACGCCAATTATGATATTCCTTTATAAACCGATCTTCAAACTTCCAATCAGTTCTAATAAACAATATCAATTATGATCTAAGATCTTTTCAATCTTCCATATCAAACTAAGAAACAATATTACGCCAATTATGATATTCCTTTATAAACCGATCTTCTTAATCTTTTCAATCTTCCATATTATGATATTTCCTTTAGAAACCGATTATCTTCATCTTCCATACAATATTACGCTACCAGATATTTTCTTATAAACCGATCTTCAATCTTCCATTCAGATCTAAAAACAATAATACGCCAATTATGATATCTTTAGAAACTGAACTCTTCAATATTCCATAAGACTAAGAGAATATTACGCCAATTATGATATTTCTTTATAAACCGATCTTTCTTCTTTATCTTCCATATCAGATATAAAAAAATAATACGCCAATTATGATATTTCTTAGAAACCGATTTCTCTAATAAAACCGATGATATTACTTTAGAAACTGAATTTCACTTCCATATCAGATCTAAGACACTATGATATTTTTTAAACGATCTTCTTCTTAATCTTCCATATCCGATAAGACAGAATATTACGATATGATATTTTATAAACCGATCATCTTCATTATTCCATATACGATCTAAGACAATAATACGCCAATTATGATATTTCTTTATAAACCGATCTTCTTCAATCTTCCATATCCGATCTAAGACACAATATTACTAATTATGCCAATAAATGATATTTCCTTCAGATATAAGAAAACATGGCAATTATGATATTTCTTTATAAAACTGATGTTCTTCAATCTTCCATATCAGTTCTAAGAAACAATATTACGCCAATTATGATATTTCTTTATAAACCGATCATCTTCAATCTTCCAATCTTCCATATCTTTATAAAGATCAAAGACACATAATATTACGCTAATTATGCGATATTTCAATAAACCGATCTAAGACAGAATATTACGCCAATTATGATATTTCTTTTCCATCTTCAATCTTCCATAGATCTAAGAAGAATTACGCTAATTATGATATTTCTTTATAAACCGATCTTCCAATCCATATCCGATCTAAGACAATATTCAATTATGATATTTTTTAAACCGATCTTCTCTTCCATATCTTTAAGACACAATATTACGCCAATTATGATCTAGAAAGACACAATATTACGCCAATTATGATATTTCTTTTATAAACAGATCTTCAATCTTCCATATCCGATCTAAGACACAATATTACGCCAATTATGATATTTCTTTTAAAACCGATCTTCTTCAACTTCCATATCAGATCTAATGAACAATATTGCCAATTATGATATTTCTTTATCTTTTTAAACCGATCTTACGAAACTTACGCCAATTATGAATCTTTATTCCATACATCCGATCTAAGACACAATATTACGCCAATTATGGATTTCTTTTTAGAAACCGATTATCTTCATCTTCCATTCAGATCTAAAAACAATATTCCAATTTATGATATTTCTTTATCCGATCTTCCATATCAGATCTAAGAAACAATATTACGCCAATTATGATATTTCTATAAATGATCTTTCTTCAATCTTTTCAGATAAGACACAATACGCCGATTTCTTTTGTTCTTCAATCTTCCTTCCATACGCCAACGGTGATATCTTTATAAAGATCTTTTTTTCAACAATCAGATAAGAAACAATATTACGCCAATTGCGATATTTCAGAAACCGATCATCTTCAATCTTCCATATCAGATCTTAAGACACAATAATACGCCAATTATGATATTTCTTTATAAACCGATCTTCTTCTTACACCTTCCATATCAGATCTAAGACACAATATTACGCCAATTATAGGTTTTAAAACCGGATTTTCTCAAACTTCCATATATCAGTTCTAATAAATAATATTACGCCAATTATCAATTTCTTTATCGATCTTCTTCAATCTTCAAATCTAAAAAACAATATTACGCCAATTATGATATTTCTTTATAAACCGATCTTCAAATTTCAATCTTCCATATCAGATCAAAAACAATATTACGCCAATTATGATATTTTTATAAACCGATCTGATCTTCAATCTTCAGTATGATATCAGATCTTTTCAAAGAACAATATTACGCCAATTATGATATTTCTTTATAAACCGATCTTCTTCAATCTTCCATATCAGATCTAAGACAAAATATTACGCCAATTATGATATTTCTTTATAAACCGATCTTCTTCAATCTTCCATATCCGATCTAAACAATATTACGCCACTTGATATTTTTTATAAATGATCTTCTTCAATCTTCCATATCAGATCTAAGAACAATATTACGCCAATTATGATATTTCTTTATAAACTGGATCTTCTTCAATCTTCCATATCAGATCTAAGACACAATATTACGCCAATTATGATATTTTTTATAAACCGATCTTCTTCAATCTTCCAATATCAGATCTAAGAAACAATCTTATTACGCCAATTATGATATTCCTTTATAAACCGATCTTCTTCAATCTTCCATATCCAGATCTAAGACACAATATTACGCCAATTATGATATTTCTTTTGAAACCGGTATCTTCAATCTTCCATATCAGATCTAAAAACAATATTACGCCAATTATGATATTTCTTTTTATAAATGATATCTTCTTCAATCTTCCATATCTTCATCTACATCTCAGACAATATTACGCCAATTATGATATTTCTTTATAAACCGATTGAATTTCAATCTTCCATATTGTTCTAGGAACAAAACGCCAATTATGATATTTCTTTAGAAAATGATGGTTCAATCTTCCATATGAGATCTAAGACACAATATTACGCCAATTATGATATTTCTTTATAAAATGGATCTTCTTCAATCTTCCATATCAGAGAGAAAGACAAACAATATTACGCCAATTATGATATTTCTTTATAAACCATCTTCTTCAATCTTCCATATCCGATCTAGAAACAATATTACGCCAATACAGATATTTCTTTAGAAACCGATCTTCTTCAATCTTCCATATCAGATCTAAAAAACAATAATACGCCAATTATGATATTTCTTTAGAAACCGATCTTCTTCAATCTTCCATATCAGATCTAAGACACAATATTACGCCAATTATGATATTTCTTTATAAACCGATCTTCTTCAATCTTCCATATCAGATCTAAGACAGAAATTACGCCAATTATGATATTTCTTTATAGTGTGATCTTCTTCAAATCTTCCATATCAGATGTAAGAACAATATTACGCCAATTATGATTTATTTATAAACCGATCTTTTTCAATCTTCCATATCAGATCTAAACAATATTACGCCAATTATGATATTTCTTTATAAACCGATCTTCTTCAATCTTCCATATCAGATCTAAGAAAAATATTACGCCAATTATGATATTTCTTTAGAAACCGAATTAGGTCTTTAATATTCAGTTGATGTTTAAAAAAAACAGTTCAAAATTTTGTTTCATTTCATTTCTTTTTTTTGTCTTCCTGTCATAAATAAAAACATTCAGATAAATGTTTTGTTAATGAACTTATAACTG